CCCCCCCCCCCCCCCCCCAGTGCAAACAGAAACGTCCCCCGGGGCTGTACAAAACCTAAAGGTTCAGAACAGAACGGGGCGGAGCTTGAGTGAGAGGCATTGTCGAGCTGAGACGATAGGATGAACCAATCAGAGTGGCTTTCTCATTGATGCGTTCGCGCATCAAAGTAGCCAATCGGAGTGAGAACTGCAGGTTCGGAATATAGAGAAAAAGTGGGGGGACGGGGTGGTGGTGATGGAAGGAAGTGGTTAGAAAGATCATCATTAACCCGGGATGAGCACAGTAATTTTATGTTCAAATGGTGAATTTCGTTATACGTTCTTTTGGTGAGATGAAACTCGTGAGTATGTTCACCGTTTCGGGATTTCCAAGATAACGTTGTTTCTGCGATTAAAACGTTCCTGCTTGCCAAGTCTCATTAGATGTATGTTCCATTTGTGATCCTCCTGGGACATCGAACTACGGAATCTTCCAACGCTTATACGGGGACAGCAAACAGCTTTATTACACAGTTACGCTTTTAGTGATTTAGCAAACTGACAGTAATAATTTTACTTCTTTCCACATTCAATATCAGGATAGGGGAGCGGGCAATCATCGGGTTGCAAATGATAGAAAAAGGTGGAAAAGTTAAGCAGTCGTTGAGAGGGGTGAGGCCGAGTCGTGACATACGATTGACAGTGAAATTGTGACCAAGTACGCTCGACTACGGTCACATTTATATAAATGCTATAGTTGTCACTATTTATTTTGTTTACCATGAGGTCGCTTCTTGGAAGTATGTTCAATCCTCACGTTCTGAATGCAATAAATATGTGACAGAAATTTCTATGATAATTGGTAACGAACATTGAACATAGCTATTCGCAAAGATCTTGGATTTAACCTCCATTCTGAACGCACACATTAATTCCAACACGTGTTGTTTGTGTACAAGAAACCGGGCTAGATCAAAACATTGAGGACGTGCTCGTGCGAATAAAAGAATTTGATTGCTACCGGCAGGGTAGACAGCGAAATAGGAAAATAACCGGAGGCGGTTACTTACACCAATGTTTCCTGGCGTGGCAAGTCAGAAGTTATATATAACTATTCCGAAAAATGCAATCAGTTTTTCTGTTCGTTTTCACCCTAAATTTTCTCGTCACATAATTACAATTATCACTAATGTGTACATGTCTCCCTCGTGTACTCGGACTGAAATTTCTGCCTTTTTTGATTCCTATATCCCGTTTCTCGTTTCATTATTAGATGAAAGTCTTCACTTACCTGTTGGTGACTTCAATCAGACAAGCATTTCTCTCCTGCTTCCGTTCGGTCTGTTTGACCTTTCTCATGCTCCTACCAGGAGTAGTTCTGTGCTGAACAGCTTATTCTTATTATTCTCTCTCAAACTAATGGCCCCGGTTTCTACCAGTGACCATAGTATTCTTCTTGTTAGACCAAAGGTATACTCTCGCATTGCTTATCAAGCATTCACACGTTCTACTCAGATAAAA